AAAAAAAACTGGATTTACGACTGTATCAGTACCATTACAAAAAAGTCAGTTATTCTCATAATAACATATCGAGCCTAATAGGTGAATATGCGTAAATTCACATTAGTCACAAAAAAAAATTTGCAGATATTCAAGAAATTAGAAGTAGAAACAGCAAAAATTGAGGACAACGCCAGCGACCGAATTCGTTTGGATGATTTGCTCGTTTCACATTTCACACGTCAAGTTAGCGTCTATCCATTTGATGTGTGGAGAGAAAATCGGCTTTGTTAGTTATTGTTGTTGACTATCGCTACTGACCTAAAAGTCCATATCAAACAGCAGACCGACGCTAAGGTGAGATGTATGATTTGTGGGAGTTTCTTTTCAACTTTTTATAAATCAAGTAGGCCAAAACCTGTATATTGTTCTTGGTGAACCTGGTTGAAAAACAGTGGCTATAAATAAATGACGCCTCGTCTATCAGCTCAATTTTTAAAATAACAAGGAATACTCATGAAATATACCAGTTGTTTTTTTTTTTTTTTTGCCAGTCTTTGGACTCTACTTGGTAATCGGTAGGCAGCAGAACGCTTTTGCAAGCCTTTTTCTCTTTTTTTTCTTTTTTTTTTTTTCATAGCTTGTAGTGGATTCAGCTCATTTTTAACTGTTGAATAATGTTCTCCTCCTTCAACACTGACTGGGTACAAGACTATGTGCAAAAAATTTTAAAAAGGTAGCCGACATTGCTCAGATAATCCAAGAACGATGCTAAATTTTCCTTTTAAAGTTTTTTGCTGCTTGATTGTTTCACCCTTATTTAGACCTATCTTTTTTTCTTGCGGGCAGTCCTCAATCTCTAATTTAATTTATTTTGGAACTCATGTTTAAAAGTTGGATTCCCATGCACCGCCAATATAACAAACCAAGTCGGTCGAATGACCTCAGTTTTCAAACAAAAGTATTGGTGTGATAAGTATATATATGATTACATATTATGCGTTATCAAGGTGTTGGCAGGATATGTGATAATGGCTGTTAGTGCAAAAAGATCCACTAAAGCTTGCTCAAAACTCTGAACTTTCCTCTTTCTTCCCTAGCTTTCTTTTTACATATTCTATGTTATGGTAGCAAAACAAAGGAAATGGAATAACACTAAAGAGGATTTATTGAAGAGCAAAAAATATAAGTTGTTAATTCAGTCGTATTTGAATGGCTTAGTGTTCACCCGCTAAAAAAATGAAGCTTTTGTTCAACGTAAAATAGATTTTTGGATCTGATAATTTATTATATCGTGCAAAAGGTCATACGCGTGTTAAGGATTCAAGACGGCCCTCCTGTTTAGGACAACAACTTAAATTTGTTGGGCCTGTCTTAACAACCAGTTTAGCAACACCAAGATTGAAGTTATTAGGAACTCATTTAGCATTCACTTGGAAACTAAACTTGAGAGGACGTTAATCTTGAAAATTTGTTGAGAAATGTGACCTGTGATTGAAATATAAGAAAAAGGAGGAAACACAAGTTGCTGAGGAAAAGCTGCTAAATAGTTTTCAATACTACCTTTGAACAATGCTTTATTAACATGAATTTGAAATTCTTAAAGCGGCTTTTTGGAAAAACTTGTTGTTGTTGTTGTTGTTTATTCTGGCGAACTTAAACAACTTTGTTGTTTAAGTTTGCCAAAAGTCAGTGTTTGGACTCGTCAAAAGTTCCATATTAATTGCTCTGCTCCTGCAGGTCGTGGAAAAAAGGGCTTGAATCACACTTTTATCATTGTTGAACCGTAATTTAGGGAGTGCAGAAGCAAGACTCTGGAATATTAATGGGTAATTAAAGTTAAGGAGGAATGCGAATGACGATGGTAAATTTATGACTAAAAAACTCGCTTAAGAAGTGCTGATTTTGCAAAGCCACATTTCTCTCTCGCTCCTTAGTGTCTAGGGTAAGAGAGGACAACGCTACTAAGGTGCGAGTTATGCCAGAAGCAAAATCTTTATTGAGATTTTGAGCTTTTCTGTCAAAAGCTCAAAGTATACACCTGTACTTGAAATCCTTACGTCTCACAATAAACAGGTTTTGACAAAAATTCCCTTATCAATCACATTTGCAGTACAAGCAACGATAAAAACTTCTTTAAAATTCGTTTTCTTTCACTTATCTTTAATGCCTTAGCAATAAGAAACCTTTGGTCTTTTCCAAGATAATTATGCTTCAACAACCGCTTGGCAGCGACAATGCATTATCTTTGCAAGCTACCCGCAGATAAAATGTTTGACGTTCCACCATTCTCTCATAATTAACTCTTTCAAAGTTTATAAACTGCATGGGTTTCCTCCATACTTATTTAATAAGTTTTTTGTCAGACTGAGATCCCCTCAGTGGCCAATACATCACTTCCAACTCGTTCTCAGACAGGTAGAATACTTGGTCCATAAAAGGTAGCTTCTAACAGCTGTCCCGTAGAATATCAAACCATTTATATGCTGCGAGAGAACCCCACCAGAATATTTTAAAAAAACGTTATATCGTTCATGCAAAGCATGAAATCTACACCTGTTCTGTGAAGTGCAAAGCATACCGTGCCGTACTACACTGCTCGGCAGCATCATGTATCACACTGTAGAGACACTATCTTCCTACTGCATCAATTGGAAATACAAAGAGGACCACATGGCCAAATTAAGTAAGTCTCAATCCGTTCTCAAAGCGATCTACTTTGCTGCGCCTCAGCTCAGCCTCTTTCTGGCAATATTACCTCCTTCCGAAAAGCAGTGGTTTTCTGCAGAACATTTTCCGTCAACCATTTCGTTATCTTACCACTTAAAGCCAACAGCTTTTTAGGAGGGCCAGTCCGCACTAGCACTGTGTGGCCAAACTAGACAAATTTATCCCTTGAAGGTGGCGCAACGTTCAATCCTATTCGCCGCTAGTTACAGAATCAGAAAGAACACGTCTCGCAATATCCTGCAAACTCAAACCAAGTTTTTTCAGGCTTATTATTTACATGTACTGGGCAGGCGTAACACCGTTACCTTTATTTTCAAGTAGAAGATATGCGGAAAAGAAGTGTAAGATATAACACTCCATCTCGAAACAACTTTGGATAAAAAAGTATTTAAAATAGTTAGTATCATTTCACCACTACGTATAAAAACTTTCCAGCTTCAACAAGCAAACATTTGAGGTACAAAAAACTGTTCGACAGATAATAATTAACTTGTAGGTCAAATTGAATCATTAAAAAACTGCTGCAGTCTCTATGTACGACATACAGATTAATGCGAATAGTATTTGGAGTTACATTGAGCAAATAAAGTTTTCACATGAAATGCTGTTTTTCCTAATTTCTGTAGTTACAAATGACTTAATGTTTGTTAGCACTGAGTATCATATTTAAACAAACATCCTTATCCGTGGTTGGAAGAGTCTTTACTAACTGATGTTCCAAAGCTAGACCAACAGTAAATGGTAAGCAACCATAAAGTTGGTTGTGTTCCGATAAAAACCGATCGTAATAGCCTTTTCCATGACCTAAACGGTGGCCGTCCTCGGTGAAGGCTACACCTGGTACTATAACAACATCGAATGGACCTAAATTTACTCATTTACGTATTGGGTAAATACCCACAAGCATTATAACAGTTTTACTGTTGCAAAAAGGTTGTTTTAATTGCCACGATCCAGTCCAAATGTCCAACCACACCTGGAATGTTACTTTTCTACCATCATCTTATTTGCAAAGAAAAAAAAAATTAAAAAACTCTAAAGTTATCAAAAAACCTAATTTTGAACCAGCAAAAAACTGGAACTCATAAAACATTCAATTTTCTTCCAAAGTAACCTAAGACGCAACATCGCTTGAATGTGGAACGACTTCTTAAAGGAAATAAATACCAAATAAATTTACATAAATTGTTTTAGAAAGAAGCAATGCAGTTATCCTGAAATTCTGACGAAAAAATAGGAGCACAAAGACGGCTAATTTCTAAAAAAGCTTATTGTCCTTTACCCTTCTTTACATAAGCCACAGATAGAATCCCATAATTGTAAATAAAGTTGTCAACAGATTCAATATATGGTGAATGATTAAAATTTCCCATGAGATTTCTTTTTAGCCGAGTCTTTTTTCTTCCTGGACAACGACAAAAAATTTGTGAAATCTCGCAGAAACTTTTTGAAGAAGGCGGATCCATTTTGTCAGCTACCGCTGGCTTATATTTCTGCAGCTACTCGTATATCATTTACTTAGTGGAGTCATTAGATACTACTGCAATTTACTGCCGATCGATATAAATGTGACTGTATTGGACACCGTATCTAAATTTTCAAAACGGCTTTCTGAGAGCAAAAATCCCAGTTAAAAAGTATGCGAAGTTGGTGGTCCAAACAGTGCCACGTTTAGGGTTAACAAATCATCCTTTGATGAAGATTCAACAAGTTTTTTTAAAAATACACAGTTTCCATTTGGCATAAAGCAAATCTCGTCGACTGTTTTTTGGTGGCAAAGATTTTGTTGCAAAAAATGAAGCGCAAGGGACCTACGTTGGTTTTAGGCTTATTTCTCTGCTTTAGTGGTACTTCGAAGCCTTGCTGATGGCATTGTCTAAATCATTGTAATGATTGCTTTGACTAGCAAGGTTAATTTACAAGGAAGTTATAATTATTCGATGTAGTGCAAATCAGCAAGAGCTCATGGGGCAACTAAATAATTCTGATATAAAATAACTGGAAAAAAGCACTGATTTGCAAGAAAGGATGTCATTCAGGCTTTACTAACGAACCTTAATTAATATGTCATTCATCTGCCTTGTTTTTTTAAAATAAACGTGATCAACTATCAGTATTCAATTGCAGGGTTTTTGAAAACTTCAAAGTTATTTGTTTGAAGTTGCATAAACCCGCTATATCAAACTACCTTCACTATTGTTTTAATAACTCGAAGTTGAAAGAATAGAATAATTTACTACTCTTCTTTCTACTTGAATGACGCAAAAAGTCAGAAACTACGTAAAAGCAACTACAAAATATTGTTGTAAATTCAGTCATCGTTTATTCTCCCTCCTTCTTCTACTGCCTTCTTTTTGAAGAAAAGCTTTTATTTTTAAAATTGAAAAGGACAAGAAGAAATGCTGGAGCGTTGTTGCAACAAATTAATTAGCAAACAGTCATAGTGGACGACTTGGTATTAACAGTAAACTATTTAGCAAGCAGTTAAAAAGTAAAGAAAAGTAAATGCAGAGAAATTAGAAAGTTATTGTAAAGAAACAAAGTGTTACCAAAATTTTTCCAACCAAGTTTGCTATCAGGATTTAATGGCTGACGGATACCCCAAAGTGTGGGTTGCAGATTGCAGAATTCCTCAACTGACTGCAATTTGAACATATCCATTTGATTAGAACCCCGTCGAAAATGTGGAACAAAGACACTTTTCTGTCTCGCGATTGAATCCCGTATTAAAGAATCAGTTGCCACCTCGTTTTTGGTACTCACGTAAATGGATATCCGCTTGCAATCCAAATACCATTTACTACTCAGTATCTATGAAAAACTTAATTGTATTGTGAGTCTAAAATGGCAACTGCATATAATCAAAGGTAACAGTAAAAACGACTTTAAGAAAATCAAAGTTGAGTTATGCAAGAAGCTATTAAAACGAAAGCAAAAAAAACATCAGACAGGGCTTAACTGTTTTGTCAAAATGCACCAAAACTTCGGATGATCTTAACCTTTACCTGGTCCAAAATACTTTTGCTCTGCAAAGCAACACTAAAACTGTCCAAAGATTGGGTGAGACAGGAAATTTCTTTTCTGATTAGCTGTTTCTTGGCTGCGGTATCAGCCATATGCCCTGACAACGATGAGGACGCAATTACCCTTACAAAACTTGTTATATATGACACGCGTCCAAAATGAGTAGCCAAATACATATTGTAAGTTCACCAGGAACCGGTTCCTCAGACTTTATATATAATTTTACTTCTCTTCTTACTCTTTTACTGCCAGATTTTCTGACCTGCTTACAACGAAAGCCCGGCAATCCTCAGGATGCGAAACCACTGAAATGCAACCTTTCTGCAAAGGTGAAAACTATAAGCCAATAAATCGCAACATAAATTTTAAAACCTCCAGAATTTTGAATGTTCCATAAATTTTGCGGAATGCTAATGCAAATTTACTTCATCTACAACCTTACACTGGCACACTAGTTAATTACATACTCGCCAAATTCTGCTTTTCTTTCATAATCCAAAACAGATTCATTTCTCCATTTACAAAAAACCATTACTAAAATGTGAACCAAAACAACTCAGCTCCCCAAAACTTCTTAAAGCCCCAATTTGGCAAAGTTCTGCACCCTAAAATGACAAGGTTTTCAACCGGCAAAATCTTGATCATCTATTTACTTGCCATTCGGTATGACATCCAAACCAATTATTTTGATAAAACTACGGTAGGCGCTGATCAGAAGGATGCGGTGTGTAAAAATGATACTCTCCTGAAGGATCACTTTCCCACGCACTAAGCTGTTCCATAATTAAAAGAATTTTATTTCCAAGAGCACTGCATACAGTA